ATTAGCGATTTCTCGCAGTCTCGAGGGCCGGAAAGAAAAGAGTAATCATGAACGAAGAAGACCAAAATACATAAACCTAGATAACCATTTAAACGCATGAATGAACGTTATAGTAAGTATTAAAAACAACTCCGAAGGTCGATTAATGTGTAGGCTTCAAATCAAAATATTATATGTAGCTAATCATGATATTACACAACACTTTTTGACCAAGAAAAGTCACCAGTTATAAAGCAAGAAGTATAAAAACTTTGGCACATTCGCGCAGTTCAAAACACTAATGAGAAGGGTAAAACAAATGCTGACAAGGACAAGGTCACTGAGCGCATTGTATATGAGAACGTAATGAAATTTTCCCATAGTTACGAAGACGTCAAGCAGGTGACTAAGAATGGTAATGCTGGTCATGAAAATGTTCAATTAATGTTGTGTATTTGGATCACGTCGCGGCGCCGTTGCTTTACGCACACTTGTTTTTGCACCGCTAGCAGCGGGTCTGCTGGAAGCCGGCCGCGGGTAGGGCTTCATTGGAATGACCGCGGCCAGCCACGGGCCGGTCGGAAGACTTCCGCGGGCCGGATCTGGCCCGCGGGCCGGCGTTTGGAGACCCCTGGTCTTAGCGAACAAGTCAAGATATTTCTTGCATGTGATGTGCCAGACTGCCAAGATTATTTGTGACCGCCTGGAGCTGAGCTTTCTCAGAAGCATGCCAAGGTTAGTTTGTGCGCCAACCCTCTAATGCAAAAGTCGTAGGGCCGGCTGAGAAACATTGTATCGTGTCGTTCCCATCAATGTAGCCTTCGTGTGCCGAAGTTTTTTTTTAGACTTCAAAAAAAGCGCGCGAAATTAGAAAAAAAAATCCACGTCATTGAAGTCACTTACATCGCAGTTCACTAGCGGGTAGTCACTTTTTTTTTTCTTTCTAATCTCGCGAGCTGCTTTTTCTTTTTTTTAAAGCATAAAACAATTATTTTGATATAAGGGTAATGGCGCAGTCTAGCTGGTGAATCTTCATACTTATCGAACCCCGACACAAGTAAAAAGACTAAAAAACAAAAATGACAACCAACGACGTCTCAAATCATTTGGGACGTCGTTGTGTTGCTCTCTTTTCTTTTTCTTTCTTCCTTTGTTACGCGGTTTTATTATAAGCATGAAACCATTATATTTAGTTTTAGCTCAAGTCCAGGCGCAGCCGATGCTACGAGCTGATGGGACCATTCATACAGCGTCAAAAACGCACCATCAAGGTGGTTCTTATGTTTCTGCACGCGTTCTATCATCACTGAAGCAATCAACAGAAAAAGCCTAGTAATTTGCGCTTTTGACGCTGCTTGATCTTGATGGAAACGACACGATAGAATATGTTTCAACACGCGCTACAACTTTTGTACTGAAGGGTTTGCGCAAAAACTAATATTTAGAATTAAAACTTTGCTCTGGGCTAGTTGCTTCATTATGATCTGAAGGGCTCGAAAGCTCAAAAACACGGAAAGGACGAGACACATATACAACGTTGACTTAATCGTCCTTGTTTTTTTTTTTTAGAGCGCACGCCCGTTTCCGGCTTGAGCGGCGTCGCCGTCGGCGTCTGCGTAACCGTGAGGTTACGTGACCCCCCCCCCCCCCCCCTCCCCTGAGATCACGTGACCCCCCTGAGGTCACTTGACCCCCCTCCCCCCCGCCCCGAGGTCACGTGGCCTAAGGGGGGGGTCACGTGACCTCACGGGGGCCCCCGTGAGACCACGTGGCCCCCGTGGCGGAGCAACACCTCCTAGAAGACAAGGCCGTAGTGCTCTTCTCGTGACGTCGCAAAGGAAGGCCATCGGGGGCGCGCGTCGAAGCGAATGCAACGCGTGTAGATCGACCGTCGTAGCGCGTTTTTAGTCACATACGCGTGTCATATTAGCTAGAATGAAAGCTGCACATAGCAACGGGTCTAGAAAACATTTTATTACACGAGCAAAATATTACACCGCTAAATAATCGGTACGAAATGGCACGAGGTATGCGTACAAGACGTCTATCGAAAAATGTGATTGTTTTCTAAGTCGAAAACATTGAGTCATGCAATTATTGTTGTAGGAATGCATATTTTATACAGAAATACTTTGACAAAATGGCGAGACACGCAGTGATTTTGAAACAGCAAAACAGAACAGTTAAAAATCAGGTAGACATAGTCAACGCGGACAAGGCAAGACAAGCGTTTCTCACGATCATGTAAGCGACGTTATCGCGTGCAGTCACTGAATTCTTGCATCATACCCCGGCCACATGGCAAAATTAATGTAATTTCGATCGAATGACATTATAGGGTCGACAAATCCGCTTGCGGCGCTCGTATAATCACTCAAGACCGCGAGCTGATTAAATCCTATATCACTGAATGAAAATATATTAACGTTTCCCTGTGGCAGGGGTACTAAACTTACTACTCAGTCTACTCATTTACTTCTCCCTATGGGCTCGAGCTGCCTTAGAACAAAACATAACTTATTTTGTATATAATAATACTATCACCTTAATACAGTTAAGATTCTAGTATAAACGCGGAAAAGGCAATAAAATAACTTTAGTATAAATAAACACAGAACCACAAACAACTCACTTTCAATAATCACACAAATTTGATTTTCATCTTCCAGTGAAAACTAGATTAGCGCGCATATTTACAAATGTCGACGCAACTGCATACGAATAATGACAAGGAACAAAATTGCAATTTATCATGCGATTACAAAAAAACGATTGCAGCATCTTACTTGCGTCCTACATGAACAAGAAAGCCCGTAAATAAGTTGTTTCTCACCTGTCGATCGTATCCATACGTCCCACAATATCCGTGACGAACACATTTGAACACGAACTCCAAGAAGCCTCTCTTTGTCGAGAGAGAGGTCTATCGATTAGTCGACCAGAGCCTTCGTTGGCTAGTTGTCACATGTCACTCAAACCGTAGCAGGACTTGTTTCACGAATGCACGTAAATGCCGTAGTATCAAGCGACAAAAAAAAAAAAAAAAAAAAAAAACTACCCGAGACTACGGTGATGACAGAAATACGACGGGAAACAAGTCTCAAAAATACCACACACGAGAGCAGCGGCGACGAAAGGCTTAACGTTGTCGACGCATCTCTTGCTGGTGTGCGCTCCCTGCGACCACGACTGGATTTCTTTTCGGTTTGCTTCCCTTCTGAGATGTCTCAGCGTTCCTTTTCAGATAGTCAGCAGCTCACACACAACGTAAATTTACCAGAATCGGAGCCATGTGGCATCAGCAGCATCGCAGCCGGTCCTTTCGAAAAGTGTGGGGTGCTGCGGAACTGCACGTAGTCCCGCGGTTACGGGAATACTCATAAATATAATTTTGGTACTCTCAACCTTGGTAGCGCGTTATGTAATACATTTATATTATATATATAATAAATTGTACAATACTGCGCCTTTAAAACGTATATTAATGTCGGATAAACGCGCATGAACGAACACCACCGCGCCGCTTGTCGAGGGACATTGTTTTCACGTCGATAGCGTATTCTCACGTAGTTGCGCCATGGACTTCCTTCCTCCGCCATTGTGACGTAACCTCTCAGAGCGCTCTGGCCTTCTTCTCTAGGAGGTGTTGGGCGGAGTAGCAGGCAGGATGACGAGGTGAGGAGGAGGGAGGAGGAGTATACCCTCTCCTCAATACCCTTCCATCCTCCTCCTCAAGAGCTGCGCTCTAATTCGGCTTTACAGGGAGTTGTAAACGGCTTTCATTTTTTTCCCTGCGCACCAATATTTTTTTATGTTTTAGCACAAGTTAGTGAAACCGCCTGTATATAGACGCTTTCAGGCAGCTGTGCATGGGCGCCTCCATAACCAACCTTCAGTTTTTGTTCTCTCTTATTCCGTTCGCTCCACTTCATCATTACCACAGCAGTTACCACAGCAGGGCAGGTCATTGCAATTTTAGATTCTACCGTGTCCTTCTCCCCAACATAAGCCCTTGTAGAGACTCGAAACCCCCGCTTCACTGGCTCGGCATCTCGGTAAGACAAGAAAAGGACGCTATGGCGGCTCAATTTGGCGCACGCTGAAAGCGTCTTTATAGCCCCAGGGCAGCGAAGAAGACGCCTCGATCGGCTGCTAATCAGCGTGGCTAGTGGCAAAAAAGGGAAACTTTGGAAAGGCCATGACTCCGAACAACTGGACAGTTCGGAATGGCGCTCAGTTCGTCACAGTTCGGAATGGCTCTCGGAGATTCGAGCTCCAGGTCGGGTCAATCATCGTCTCAGAGTTGCGAAAATTCCCGTAAGATGGCGCCACTTGTCAAACCAAACTTTGTTTCTCAGAACGCGGACCAAATCGCTTCGGCGAAAAGTAAATAACGCTCGGTCTCATTATTTCGAGTAGTTCACTTTTTTTTAATTATTAAAATTAAATGTATTTTTTTACTTAAAACATTCTGGGCGTTAGCGAAAACTACTAAATGAGCGCACCTTGCAAAATTGTAAGGCACGCGCAACACTTAACGGCGTAAAACATATAAAATAGCGCAACAGAAACAAGGACAAGAAGTAAACAGGACAGGCGCTGTCCTGTTTACTTCTTGTCCTTGTTTCTGTTGCGCTATTTTATATGTTTTACTAAGATGAACCAACTAGCCCAACAACGTACCTTACTAAACTTAACGGCGTCCTGAAAAAAAAAAAAAAAAAAAAGAAGCTCAGTTTGGATCCGTTTTTTTGGTTTCGGTTTCCTGGCGGAGCGCATCTCTGCATAAACTGTCCCGCTACCCGTGGCCACAGTGGAAACCTACCGCTTCTTATTTCTCTTAAGAAAGAAGGAAATGTGGTACAAGCCAGGCAAAATGAAACGCTGTGTTGTTCGAATGACATTGCAAGAGCTTTGATTCTTGGGTTGATACTTCGGATCGCCATACCTATTTGTTTGAATTTAGTTAGAATCATCTTCCATATACTTATTTTGCACCATTTCTTCTTCCTTTTTTCTAGGATAAACTTGGTGGTGGGATTTGGAGAGGGAGCCGGAGCCAACATTCTTGTACGGTTCGCGGTGCGTGAGTCTTTCTCTGCCTCGATGTTAAAGAAAAATTGACACAAACGTGCAGAGAGTCATCTTGGTGTCGAACATGCATGCCTGCTGTCTTACAGCTGGCCCATTCTTCGAGGGTGTTGGGCCTCATCTTGATGCATCTGGTGTCAACAGGAGTTGGAATGATGGAGTACTTCAAAGATAAAGTATAACCCACTTTTCCTTTGTAGTAAAAATGTTCTAAAGGTTATTTTGTTTTTAACTTACATAGCTTTTTCTACACACTGCTTGGGCCTGCAATACCGTTTTTATTGTTTCAGATCATGAACTGGAAACTCCAGAATGTTGGCATGAACCCCTCTGCCGAGCAGTACCTGGTTCTTCACAAATTCGGGGCGGTGAGCTTCGTAATATTAAACGATAGTTGCATATGTTATTACAAATATTTTGGTAACACGGTTTCAATTTAGTGATTAGCACGTCAACAAAAGATGTATGCACGCTGTAGAAAGCATGATCAGAATTGGAGATGGTGGCGTGAAGACCAGAAAACAACAAACACTCCACGCAAAATTACCGCAATCGGGACACCGACTTCTTTTTTTCTTTTTTTTTTCTTATGGTGTAGCTTTTTTCGGCACTGTTAACTAGTCTGAGAGTGGAGCCAATTGCATTTTGTTTGAATCATCAATCTATGTTTATGAGGTTGGCCAATAATACCTAAATATCACGCGCGTATTTTGAACTGCACCGAGAAACACTATCTGTAACAGGTAAAGTGTTGTAATCGAACCATTGACCCCTTGCAACGATGAATACAAATAGGAAGAATACAAAAAGGTTCTGCGGAAAAAACAGCTCATAGCTATAAAATGTCGTTACTTTCTTCTTATTTTTTTTTTTCTTTTTAGTTACGATGTTTCGATCAGCACACCACGCCAAGGCTATTTTAATGCAACCGCATAGTTGCGTGCTTCTCCCTCTCCTTCATCTGCTTTTCCTCCCCTTTCCTAACCGCTTGATTCCTTCCCCTACAAGTAAAGAGCACGCGTAGCCGACACCTCCTATATGTCAAGGCCGGTCCCGGTATGAACGCGCTCTCTGGTGTCTTAGCGTGCTTAGGTTTTTAACTACTGCCCGTCCGTGAGCACCTTACTCGTACCTTGGAACCGACCGAACGCCAATTTCAGAAGCGACGTACGTATTTGAACAGCTGCCAGATTATATTGCGTTTCCTATAGAATGTGGCAGATTATTTGGTAGATAATTTTCGCGACAGCAGACGGCTGTTCAAACTTCCGCACTGAGTGCCTTTGTGTGTCCTCTCGCAGCAAGTTAGAGGATTTGAGGAAGCCGTCACAGGCATCCTATCCCGCCGCCCTTCGACCTACTTGCATACGCATGTGCTGGATTTCGTCGGATATTATTGCAGATTAACGTGCCACCTATCATCACACTTAAGGGGAGCAGGTTTCTGTCTGCTCAGTTCATATTTCTCCTCCAAAACACACGCCGAGCTTCCGCTCAACGGCCTGCATATTAGCTTTGTGCCAATTCATACGTTCGCCGAATCCTTTCGGTACAATTTTGACGGCCTAAAACCTATTCACTTGCTGTATGCTAATTAGTTTTCGTCGTTCCCACTCGAAGCATTGAGAGCCTACTGCGAATGCGACTACCCGAGGGAATTCATCGATACAATGAAATCCGATAACAGTCGCCATGCCCATGCACTGGGGGAAGACGTGATTGCAACTGGAGTATTACTGCAACCGAATCTTAGACTTGGATACACATTGCAGCACGAAACGCAATGTATTCACACATGAAAAACGTTCAGCATGAGAGCGCGCATCAAAGGCGTTCTACAAGTTTGTATTTCGTCCCAGGAAAAAACAGCAGTCCCCGTTACCAAGCCTCAGTTCACGCAGTCGTGGCGTCTCTCAAACAATTGTCATCTTAAAAGGCTGGAGAATTCTCTGTAGTCGACGTAGCAGTAAGTGGAAGTTTGCTCCTGGAAATGCATACTTAAGAATTCTCAGTAGAACGAAATGTGATCACAACCGACGTGATGATAAGTACCCTACAGTAGAGTCCTTCTCTAATGTCTGTATTCTGTTTAACTGACAGTTGAGGCTTTCTGTTGTTAACTGAAAGCTTATTATCCACTAAGAAGTCACTCGAATATCACCAGTATACAAACTGTCAACCATATGATTAGCGTTCATTGGTCTGAATGACAAGTAATGAGATAGCTTAAGTTTGGCGCTCACCGTTATTGACCCAGGCTACGACACCAGAGCGCGTTTTGGTGTATATTTTTCTATTTCTAAAAGCGCTTGAAATTGCATCTACGATGAAGTCTCACCACTACTATGTGTCTTTGCGCCGGGCAAAGAATACGTAACTTGTGATTGAGCTTCAGGGTTCTTTTATCACGCATGTATATCTGGGTATTAAAAAAAATCATGTTCTTCGTATGCCCTTCATAGAAGCCACCCTCTGCAGATAGCCGAAACCCCAGCTAAAGTTCGTGCTAGCGATCATAATGGCACTCCGATGCTTCAAAGCATCGTGTTGCTTCAGGAAAACGCTAGAGGTACTTTAAAAGCATCCAATGAAAAGACGTCGCCCCTTGGAGTCGCGTATACGCAGAGAATCGACTGTGAAAGATGAACGTCATCTACTCATTGAACATTTTCCGGGCGCAAGTGTTCCATTCACACGGGAATGGACAAATCGTTCGGCTATTGTCCCTGCTGCGTTTCCCTCCTGCTTTCCGCTATTAGTGCTTTGCTTCTTTATGTAGAACTTCCCTGCCAGTTGATTTTTAACACCCCCTGCACTGCAATGTCACGAAAGAAAATATAATATCTTAATGTTCATCTCCGCGGTGCATCTTCGTATCGGCCATTATGATGTTTCACAGTCCGCCGGAACGAGCATTACTAGATCAGCTTGGTTGGAGAACTCTTTTGAAAAGGCGAGTCTCTCTTTCCTCTCCTCTCACAGCTCTACGCCTATCGTTCAAAGCGCCATCCTCTTAGCACGCTGCGGCGCATCTCCGTTATAGCAGTTCAGAACACAGCCATAGCCTGTAAAAAGGGAGACGCTTCGAACGTTAGATGTCAAACTTAAGAGGGAGTTCGTGCGTGGAGGCAGCGTCTATGAGTAGTCCTCCAAGTGAGTTGTTCTAGTAACATCGGCAGAAACTAATAAACATATCTTGTACAGAAGGACACAGGTTTGGCCCAGAGTTTGGTAGGAACAAGTCAGCAATCATTTTTGAGTGTGTGTGAGTGTGTGTGTGTGTGTTTGTAGGGGCTTTAAGGGGGTGCGAGCCTAGGTTTGGCCACCCCTGCTTTATTGCAAAGGGCTTTACCCTGCAGGTGCCGAAGGCGAGACGGATTTAGCAAAGGCGTTATTGGGGTTTAAGGACAGCCAAGGAAAGCGGGCAGTCTGAAAAATGAGAGAACTAAACACAAATTTTACAACTCGTGAAATAAGTCCAGGCAAGGCTAAACATTTTGCTCATTCTCGCCTTGGAGAGCCGTAGTGGGTTCCTTTGTGATACTCCAAGGCGTGTCAGGGTACTAGAGCATATTAGCTGCAAATGCTTAAAACGCTCGCTAGGTGGGGAAAGCCGCCTCCCGATTTAAATGGTTCAGCCGTACCGGTCTATCTATCCATCCATTGTAATTCGGTGTGAATCCCAAATGTCTAAAGCCGGCAGAGGAAGCTTTGGTTTGTTCAAATACGAGTAAACACGGTTACATGAGGCGAAAGATCTATAGCCTGGCATCACACCGGCTTGGGCATCCTGGTTCAATGTAATTTATTTTAACTTAGTCGACCATATAACTTAGCTTCGTGATTTTTAAAATTGTAGTTGTCCACCGCTCGTGGACATATGTTTCTGAAGCTCCAACGTTAGATATAATGCAGGTCAATAACTAACAACAAAAGTAGCCGTTTTCCACGCAAAACTTGAAATCAACTTTTTTTTTGTATATTTATTTTTTGGTTTGAACACGAATAATCCTACTCTTTCTTTACTACCATTTTTTGTAGGAAAATAGCCACAGCAGCGATTCGAGACCGGATTAAAAATACTGGTCCTCAGGATTTGGCGCAGCGAGTTAATAATTTAGGCAGTTATTACATTTCCTACGCAATTACGCTATAATAAGCTCACTTTTGAAATAAAAAAAAAAAACCCTACGTGGTTAAGAAAGTATTTTCTTTTTATTATTCAACAGGATGTTCCAACTAACGTGTGCTAAAATAATATCTTAAAAAAAAAAAAAGCTACGTATGTCGAACTGACGCAGTATTGCTCTCAGTCCTATTGAGCAAGTCAAATATATTTTTGCAATGTGCCAAACGGGCTAATTAGCAGATATTAATTAGCGAACTTTTAAAGTATCTATTTGTGCGCAAACCTTCCTATAACAATGTTGCGGAGCGAGTTGAGAAACATCCCGTTGTGTCGTTTTCATCCCGGTATCCTTCCTTCGTCTGACTAATTATTTCACGACTATTCGATGGCTCCGAGGCCAAGCGCCGGCCTGCGGATCGGGTGGCGGGTTCGAATCCCGGCCTAGCTACCCGCAATCTGACGGAGGTTTATTGCTGAGAAGACAGCGTGTAACCGGGCTTTCGGTTGCACGTCATATGATCCCCAGGTGGTCGAAGTTAATCCCCTGTCCTCCGCTGGCACGTGCCAGATGCCCGTCGTTGGTTGGGCACGTAAAACCCCCGAATTTGAATTTTCTAATTATTTCTAAATATAAAAAAGTGGAAGATTAAAAATAAATTTAAAAAATTCCACGTTACTAAAGCCACTAACATCGCAATCTTCTAGCGGGTAGTATGGGTAAAATTGTTTTGTTTTGTTTCTTTCTTTTTTTTTTCTTTAATCTCGCGCAAATTTTAAAAGCTCGTACAAATTAAGCACTCAAAAGCTACCTCGATGGAAGCGACACAATTGTATGTTTGCCAACACTCTCTACAACTTTAGTATTAGGGGTTTGCGGTGTTGAAATCGTTAGCTAGTTAATTAGCATTAATTTGCCAGTTATTAGATCACGAAAGATTAGTTGTTCCGTACGACTGTGAACAATAATGCGTTAGATAAAAAAAAAGCGTAGCATGCGTCAGCTTTTTCTTTTTCCTTTTTTAGGTTTTGGCACATTTGAACCGCACGTGTGGAGGTCCTTTTATCGATTGTTTCTTTATAGCCTCTTTTTCCACAAGGCGTCTGTTTCCTAGGCTTTATTCGCTATTATTGTCAGGAAGGTACCTGGTTGCATTCATTGATTCCGATCTTAAACAAAACTCAAATCAATCACCGAACGACCAGAATGATTCCTGGCACAAATTACTTGCCCACCTGAGT